TCCTACAGAAATGAATCTTGGCTGAAAGCAGAGAATACCAGAAAGATGTTTACCTGTGTTTTATTGACTATGCGAAGGCATTAGACTGTGTGGATCATTCACAAATTATGGATGACATTGAGAAGAACGGGAATTCCAGAACACTTAATTGTGCTCATGAGGAACCTGTACATAGACCAAGAGGCAGTCATTCGAACAGAACAAGGGGATACTGTGTGTTTTAAAATCAGGAAAGGTGTGCGTCGGGGTTGTATCCTTTCACCATACTTATTCAATCTGTATGTTGAGCAAATAATCCGAGAAGCTGGACTATATGCAGATGACACAACCTTTCTTGTTGAAAATGAAGATTTGAAGCACTTGTTGATGAAGATCAAAGACTGCAGTCTTCAGTATGGATTACACTTTAACATAAAGAAAACAAAAATCCTCACAACTGGGCCAGTAAGCAACATCATGATAAACGAAGAAAATATTGAAGTTGTCAATGATTTCATTTTACTTGGATCCACAATCAATGCCAATGGAAACAACAGTCAATAAATCAAATGACATATTGCACTGGGCAAATTTGCTGCAAAAGACCTCTTTAAATAGTGTTAAAAAAAGCAAAGATGTCACTTTGAGAACTAAGGTGTGCCTGAGGTATTTTCAATCGCCTCATATACATGTGAAAGCTGGACAGTGAATAAGGAAAACTGAAGAAAAATTGATTCCTGTAAATTATGGTGTTGGAGAAGAATATTGAGTATACCATGGACTGCCAGAAGAACAAACAAATCTGTCTTGGAAGAGGTATAGCCAGAATGCTCCTTAGAAGCAAGGTTGGCGAGACTTTGTCTCAAGTACTTTGGGCATATTATCAGTAGGGACCAGTGGGGAAGGACATCATGTATAGTAAAATAGAGTGTCAGTGAAAGAGATGAAGACCCTCAACGAAATGGACTCACTGGCTTCAAGGATGGACTCAAGGCATAACAACGATTGTGGGGATGGCGCAGGACCCGGCCATGTTTCATTCTGTTGTATATAGGGTCACTATGAGTTGAAACTGACTAGACGCAATCTGCTTTTCTTTTCTTCCTAGTATCTATTACTATCTGACATATATTTACTTTTTGCCTGCCTTGCCCAGTAGAAATCAGGTCAGTGAGGTCAGGAACTTTGTTTTCCTTAATTATAATACAGTAAAACCTGCGAAAGCCGGAACCTGTGTAAGGTGGAAACCTATCAGAGAAGGAAAACTCAAATATTTTTGATTAAATAGACATCGATAGAAATGTGGTGACTACACCCTATCAAAGAAGGAAAACTTTTGAGACTGGGAAAAACAGGGCAGTCCTGCTGAGTTCCGGGTCTCACAGGTTTCACTGTAATACCTTGCATATAGCAGGTACTCAATAATTACTTGTTGAATGTACATTTCATGAGTGAGTGAATGAATGCCCAGTTGCCCCAGATGTGTAATTCCAAATTTCTAAGAGAAGAGTTTAATTGATCCATTTCATATTTTTCAAGAGAGACCGCTTCCAGCAGTTTCAGGCCAGCCTATGAGTTGCTGTTCCTGTGCCAGGTGCCACCTCTCGTCTAAGTGGAAAGGATTGAGATGGGACAACTTGGCATAGTACAGAGCATACGCACTTAGAGCACCAGGGATAAGGCAGGCAGATCCCCTAAGGTGGGGCTTGAGTGGCCCAGCCCTGATGGCATCTTGGGCTTCATGAAGTACCAGCTCAGCTATGATAGAGAGAAGGCCAGATACCCTTGGCTAGGAATCTGAAGGTCAAGAATTAAGTTGGCTTTTTTGGGTACTAACCCTCTGCCTTAGTCATAACTTTACTTAATCTAAAATTTTTCATATGCTCTGCACTTTACATGTGATTTTTATGGTCAATTAATAATAATCATGGCTAATATTTTTGAGTGTTCCCTATAGGTATAGCAGTTTATGAGCACAATTATGTTGCTTAATTCCTGGAATCCTTGCAACAATCCTTTGAGGTAGGTACAATGATTGTCTCCATTTTGCAGATGAGGAAATGAGAATGGAGAGAAAATAAGTTGCCTTAGATCACAGAGTAACTGACAGGCCCAGGATTTGAACCCAGATAGTCTGGTACTGAGTCCCTGGGTGGTACTCAGCTGATAACCAAAAGGTTGGCTGTTTGAGTCCCCCCAGAGGTGCCTTGGAAGAAAGGCTGGTGATCTATTTCTGAAAAAGCAGCCGTTGGAAACCCCACAGTTCTGTTCTGACACACATTGTGTTGCCATGAGTCAGAATCAACTCCACGGCAACTGGTTGACTGACTGAGTCTGGACTACATTTCCATCTAACAAGGTTATTGTATCCATTTACTTGACTATGGGCCTTAGCAAGAAGTCTTTATTTTTTTTGGAAATAATGTTATGATGGGGCAAACACATAAAAATATGCTTTTAAAATAGTAAAATATTATGTGTTATTCTTATTAAGTATACATTTAATATATAAGTCTGTGTAGTTTCAGACTTAAAATCTATCATTCTCTATGTCCTTTGCTTCTGTTTTTATGAATGTGTACCCCAAATTTTATGTTTATTTATTTATTTTTGCCCAGATTGGCAGAATTTTCAATACTGTGCTCCACTTCATGTTTTCTGTTTGGGATTTTGGCAGGGCTTCCTGAAAATGAATGCAAAAATAGTGCTACAAACTCTTCTAAATAAGTTAAGGTACAAAAGTGCTAAGGGCAAAGGCTGGTGTTCTTGAACTGTGTTTATAATAAGAATATGAACACATAAGGTATAAAACAGATGCTTGAGAAAGAATTCATGTAGCACCCTTAGTATATGCCACATACAAGAGACCATGTTAACCACTGAGGATGTACAGTGATGTATAAGACAACATTCCAGTATATTGGCTTTTTTCTGAACCATTAGAATAAACTTGAAAAAATAGGTGACTACCTCAAATCCTTTGTAGTATATGTAGCACAGGCAGAAGCCAATAGTTCTATCCCTCATCCCTATATAGCTTCCCACCACTTACTGGTGGGTATTCACAGGTACTTTTCCCTTTAAAAAAGGCTTCTGTATTCCCATTACATTAAGTAGAAGCAGATGAGAATTTTTATTTATCCTTGTCTTTTACAGTAGGGATTTCCATGAATAAGAAAATGGCCATTTTTGTAAGGTTACCAATTTATGAGTTGCTGTTCATTTCTATCATTAAGTAGCATGTTAGTTCTATTTTTGTTTTGCACATGTGCTTTTTAGAAAAGGTCATAATTTGCTCTGCAGAGTCTTGATTTCCATCCTGTTGGTGAAGTTGTTCAAGATCATCATGGCCCCATATCCATCAATCATGCATGCTTCATGGATTTCCGTTGTCAGTAGCACATATCAGTATGATGAATGGTTCAGGGTTCATATTCAGGAATCTGATTGGATAACTGTCATTACATTTGTTGGAACTTATAGTTCAAAAACATTGATGAAGCTGTCCAAGAAAAGAGAGCAATGCAAGCCAATTTTACTTATTATGAGCAACAAAGCTTGGTAATTTGTTAGCATAAATAGGCTCTGTACTCTAGTGCACTCCCTGGGGATCATCTAGGGGATTAGAGAGGGGAATTAACTCTTTAAGTGATTATACAGCAGCATTGGGTGGTAACCTTGTGATGTGAAAGAGTGCATATTGCACTATGCTTGTGCTGGAGGCTTCATCAACAGGAGAATGAGGACTCAGGATCTATTTAGAAAACTTCACGTTTTTGTTCTTACAGGGAGTAACAATTATTTACGTATTTTTAAAAAATTATCAATTATTAAACAAATTATTTAAATAATTATTCACTTATTTAAAGAGATGTACTTTCTTATAAAGAAGCCCTGGTGGCTTAGTGGTTAAAAGCGCTCGGCTGCTAATGGAAAGGTCGGTGGTTTCCTATGAGGCAGTTCTCCTCTGTCCTAGAGGGTCGCCATGAGTCAGAATCTACTCAACGGCAAAGGGTTTTTTTTTTGTACTTTCTTATAAAAGGAGCCCTAGTGGCACAACAGTTCAGTGCTTGGCTGCTAACTGAAAGGTTGGCAGTTCAAACCCACCCAGTGGTTCGACAAGAGAAAAGACCTGGCAATCTGCTCCCATAAAGATTACAGCCTAGAAAATAGAAAACATTATGGGGCAGTTCTATACTGTCACACGGGGTTGCTATGAATTGAAATCACTTCAACAGCACCTACAACAAGACTTTCTTATAAGAATGATATGGTTGTTTTTGTTGTTGGTTGACTTCAAGTCAGCCCCAGACTCATAGCAACTCCATACACAACAGATCCGACGATTGTGATCCACAAGGTTTTCATTGGCTGATTTTTTTTTGAAGTAGTTTGCCAGGCCTTTCTTCTTAGTCTTAGTCTGGAAGCTTCGCTGAAACCTGTTCAGCATCATAGCAACACACAAGCCTCCACTGACAGATGGGCGGTGGCTGTGTATGAGGTGTATTGGCCGGGAATTGAACCTGGGTCTCCCACATGGAAGGCAAGAATTCTGAACCACCACTGCCCCTATAACAACGATGGATATTTGTTATTTTAAACAAACAAAGAACATCAAATATGTTTTCAATTATTACCTGAAATCTTACTGCCCAAAGATAATTCTTGGTCTTGAAGTAGAAATAGATAGACAGGCCAACATAATGAACTATAGCAAAATAAAGTTTTTCTAGAAATTAAGTAAATGTTAAAAGGAGTATTTTATGTCAGTGTATTTTGTTTCAGTAAATCATGTTGATACAATTGGCTATTGATTTGGGGAAAAACTTGTTATCAATTTCATTCTTTACACTTACATAAATGTCAAGCATGTCAAAGATTTATTTCTTTTAAAGTGAAACCATAAAATTATCATGAGAAAACTTACTGGCATTTTAAAATCTTGGTTTTAGAAGACCTTTTAAAATATGTCAGAAACCAAGAAATTAAAAAAAGGAAAAAACAATATTTGGCTGAATAGAATAGAAAAATGTGGGTATATCAAATAAACAAACAAAGTACTATGAAGTCATAGATAAATTTAAAAGAGAAAACAAAATGGTAGGAAATGGCAATGCATGAGAAGGGTTAATTCTGGAATATGCTAAAGTGCTCACTCTTAATGATCAGTAAAATAAGATGGAAATCAAAAAGAATGATATACAAAGACAAATACTTCCTCCCAAAAGGGGTGAAAATTAATAAACATATAATTTGTTAGTATTCAAAGTATCAATAGACATATACTTTATTAGTATTCAAGGAAATTCCAGTACAATCAGCAAATGAAAGGATTTTATTGTCAGTAAACCAGGACAGTTGTCTCATTATTCCAACTTATGTGGCGATTTGGCCTGCATGTGTTGTCCTTGCCCAAAAAGTGATGAAATAAGACCAGCAGTTATCACATACAATTCCATATGGAAGTCCAAGAAATTTCTACGTTTTCACATATATGAGACAATGCTCTATTTACAATGTTATGGGACACACTTGCAATTTTAATATGGAAATAAATGGCTGATCAGCATTGTTCAAAATACATTTTTTGAATATACTCTTCTGATGGATATTTATGCCTCAACCACTATGAAACTCAGATTATTGTTAAAAAAAATCTTTCCCTCTTTCTTTACACTGAATTCAGGTTCTTGCAGATCTTTCATAATTTCTGCTTTGAGATCAGGGGGTGCCGTTGTGTTAAAGTTGCAGGTTTCTGTCAAAAAATCCCAAAGCAAGTCACCGTTTTCATTGCCATCAATAAAACAGTCAGATATGTCCATGGTGGACAGAAGGTCGTAACATTTATACTTAATCCCCAAGTTGTCCAGCATCTGAGTGAGGTCGGATGATGAGACATAGAGGCAGAGGTCATCCCTGGGTAAGCGAGATTCATACTTTTTCCACAGCTTGTCCCAGCCACTGGTTTCTGTGCAATAGAACAAAGTTCATGCTTTCATTTATTCTTGCCTTCATTTACCAGGCAGTCAGAACAGTGGATGCTTGGAACACAGCAATGAACAAAATAATATGCTTGTGGAGCTCAATTCAAGGACTTGGGGGAGAGAGAAAATTAAACAAATAAACAATATATCATATATCAGATGGTAATAAGTGCTAATGAAAAACAAATCAGGGTAAGTGGGACAGGAGTGCCAGGGGTTGTGGATGGAGTTGGTGTTTTATACAGGATGGCCAGAGGAAATCTCTGTATTAATGTGGCATTTGAGTAGAGACCCCAAAGCAAACCAGGCAGGTAACAAAGAGAAGAGCATGTCAGGTAGAGAGAAGAGCAACTGCAAAGGACCTGAGGCAGGAACACACTTGGCATGTTTAAGAACTAGCCAGGAAGCCAGTGAGGTTGGAGTTGAGTGAGCAAGGGGGAGAGTGAAAGGAGATGAGGTTGAGTGGGTGGTATGGGAGTGAATGGGGTGCCAGATCATGTGGGGTGAGATAGGAAGCCATTGTAGTGCTGTCCAATAGAACTTTCTGGACTGATGGAAATGTTCTATATCTGTGCTGTCCAATATAGTAGTCACTAGTCATTTGGCCTTGGAGCAAATGAAATGTGGCTAGTGTGACTAAGGAACTAAATTATTTTGTTTCATTTTAATTAATTTAAATTTAAATAGCCACATGTATGTTTTTATTGGACAGCACAGCATTAGACTGACATAACCTGACGTATTTTATTAGGGTCACTCTGACTACACAGATGAGAATAGACTATAGAGGATAAGGGCAGAAGCAGGGAGAACAGTGAAAAGGCTACTTCAATAATCTGGGTGATATATGAAGGTAATTTGGACCAGTGAGCTTGGTGTTGAGAAGTGGTTGGAATTTTTACAGATATGATCCTATATCCAATGTGATTTGCCAACAACTTGGATGTAGGACTTGAGAAAAAGAAAACAGTTAGCAATGATGCCAAGGTTTTTTGCTTGAGCACCTGGAAAGAAAGAAGTGTCATTAGCAAAGAAGAATGGAGGTTGAACAATTTTGAAGGGATCAGCAGGCGTCTGGTCTTAGAAATGTACATATGTCATACCCATTGGGCATTCAAGTGGTAATGTGAGGAAAACAGTTGTCTATATTAGTCTGGAGTTCAAAGGAGAGGATCTAAGTGAAAAATGAAATGGAAAGAAAGAGCATAGCAAATACAATGACCATTTACTCAAGCCAATGTGTGTGGAGGAGGTAACCTCTCATGCCTATACACCACTTACAAAGTGCTGCCTTGGACTGCCAATAACTAGGTTGATTCCTAAAAAATTCTGTCCCCAACTTTACATGACACTGAAGATGCTTTAGCAATGACTCTTGTATTTAACTGAAAACTCAGCGTAGTGGCTAAGAAACACAGCATCTGAGGGAGACAGAAAAGGGCTGAACTCTTCTCCTGATACTATGTGAATGTCTTGTCATTTAGACTCTCAGAATCTCAGTTTTCTCATCTGTAGAATGGGAATAAGGAGCCCTGGTGGTGCAATTGTTAAGCACACAGCTGCTAACTGAAAGGTTGGAGGTTTGAACCTACCCAGAGGCTCCCTTAAAGATCACAGACTAGAAAACCCTACAGGGCAGTTCTACTCTGTCACACAGGGTCGTCACTATGAGATGAAATCGACTCGACAGCACCCAACAACAACAATAACAAAAATGGAAATAAACATACTTACCTCAAATGCAACTGCAAGCATTAAATGAGATAATTCAAGGGCATCGTTGCACAATGCTAAACACGTGGCAGATGCATAGTAAGTGTTTACAAAATAAATTAACATTATATGGAATTCATTTGCTAATGTACTTCCATTGGTTGTAGTCTGAAGAAATGTAAAAGCAAACCTGATGTTCAGAAATCTATAATAATAACAAATCAAAACAAATGAACATCTACTTATGGACCTTCTAAAGTATGCGTGTAACCCTGGGCTGTTACATAGAGTCAGTACAGTGTAATAATTAAGAATATGGTCTGTAAAGCCAGACTGCCCTAGTGTGAAGCCTGGGTTTCCCTGTTGCTAGCTTTATGAGTGTGTGCCCCAGTTTTATCATGTATAAACAGGATTGAGAGTAGACTTGCTGCAAGGATTAACAGGCACATAGTAAACACTAGGTGTGAGGAAATTAAGTTGGACTTGGGCAAAGCAATACAAGAAAGAGCCTATATTTTCCATGTGCTTCCAGGATTAAAAGTAAAGATTTCAAGGCTTCAGCTTTTTTAGTTCCCAAACCTCTTCTGTGATCTAATGAAAATGTTTGACTCCCCCAGAAAAGTACACGTATAATAACATACCCACACAGTTCTGTATACAATTAAAGGAGGCTCAAAGAACCCTAACCCCTATCTATGGATTAGGATAAAGTCCCCTGATTTCACTTAACACAAGAGCCTGACCAAGGCAGCAAGTGGCAATTAATAAATAGCCTGAATAATTAACGTTCTAAGATTTCGGAAGAGGGAATGATAACTGCAGAATATGCCCTAGGAGAAGGTAGAACTGGATTGAAACAGAAAAAATAAAACCTCAGTTCAATGAAAAAAATGAAGATCGTAAGCATGTATTAAAATATCTTTTATTCCAAAGACAGCGGATTGTCTTCCCAGATAAGTTTGCCTATAAACAAGATTCTGCAAGAAAATGAACATTTCAGTAGTTGAGGAGAGGCTCTGTTATTATTATTATTTTTTAACCTGGCAGAGAATAAAGAACCAAACACTAATTGCAGAAGATTTGCTAATGTTAGTGTTCTGTGACTAGATGTCATTTCTGAGCTGAGCAATTATCTACCCTCTGACTGATGCATTACCGTAATAGCTCTCGGTGGGCACAACATATGGCGTGACTTTTGTTTTCAACACGCTATACACAAGATTCTGGTTTTCCTACTGAATTAAAAACAACCCACCATCATTTGCCTTCTTCCTTAGTCAGGTAAGTGGAGAGGACAGAAAACTTCAGTAATTTCCTTCTGACTAACCTCCCTGAACCTGATGGATTGCAATTTAATAAACAACTCTTTCAATTAATGCCTGGCTGCTACATTTGCAAAAAATACACCGCCAGCATTGTTTTAGTGTGGGATACTTCTCATTCAAAACAAAACAAAACAAAAAAGTCCACCGCTTTTGTTCTTAATTCTCTTTTTTAATTCTCAAATCGAATCTCTCTTACATTCAAAATCAGAAATTTCTCTGCTAATTATCATTAAATGAGTATTTACTGAGCTGGACTAGTTCTGTAATGGATACTCAGGCACAGAGAGAAAAGGCTGTCTTCTTTCAAGGAACATGTATTCTAATAGGCTGACCAGGAAAGGGTGTCATTTAATTCTCATTTTAATTTCCCTTTCTTTTTCTAATTAGTTTTACTTGCTTATCCTGCATTGTTTTTGTCTGGCTATTTCTGTGTGCAGCACGTGTGTGTCTGCGTTTGTGTGTGTGTGTGTGTGTGTCTGAGACAGAGAACAGAGAGAGAGAGGCAGAATATGTGTGCCTTCGTTATCAAGCTCGTTCTTCCTCTTTATTAAACCCATTTGCAAATCTCCAAAACTTTCTATATTCTTTGATTTCACATTCATCATGTAGCCATGGTCTTTTTTTTGGATGCATTTTAAGAACTAGTTGTAGTTCTGAATTTACAAACTATTAGTCATTTCAATTAAAACACATTTACTGAGTGCCTTCTGGATACCAAAGCCTTTACAAAGATTTCTCAATAGAGATGAAAGTCACAGTCCCCTCCATCCAGGAACTCTCCTTAAACTCCCGGTATACTTCTGATAAGAAACTGAGCACATTGCTGAAAGTGTTTGTTTACAAGTCTGAATTCTCAAGGAGCCTTTTCCAGGCAGAGGAAAAATTAACAGTCACTTTTGCAACCTTCAGAGCCTAGCAGTGTCTGCATATGGCAGGAGCTTAGTAATAGGTGAATGAACCAGCTCTACATAAGGGCTATTCTGTGCAGCCAACAGGGGCCTGGGAGCACAGGCTGTGTTTTGAATATGGCTGAACATAGATGGTACTGTGGCCAAATTAGGGGCTGTGCGTAATTAAATCTAGAAACTGACTCCATATGTCATTATCCTATAATAAATTTCAAAACTGAGTGCACATATCGTGCTCAAATAACTGAGTGATTCACTCCATTCAGGGAGATAACTTGTCACTTTGGTAACAGGTCAGTATCTGACTGAGACGGGCAGACAAGAGCTACGTGGCATATTTAAGATGGTCCTTTGGAGCAAGATGTTGATCCAGACATACTGTTGGACTCTACCCAGATGAGATGTTGGCTAGATGACTGCTCTTAGAAATTCAATTTCTTGAATAAACCAGTTGCCATCAAGTTGAATCTGATTCGTGGCGACCCACTGTAGTCAGAGTAGAACTGTACTCCATAAAGTTCTCAATGGCTGATCTTTTTGGAAGTAGATCTCCAGGCCTTTCTTCTGAGGAGCCTCTGGGTGGACTCAAACCACCACCCTTTCAGTTAGCAGCCAAGCGCTTAACCAACTGCACTACCCAGGACCTCCAATTTCATGAATAGTTCTAGGCTATTCTGAATCCGCTTGTAATGAGCACTCAGCTATAGAAGACAATATTATCCTGAACAAAGGAAATACACAAAGAAGTTTCTTCACTTTTAGGTCATTATAAAGCAAATTCTATTTAGAAAGTGACTGCAAGAAACTTAATAAAAACAGAACACAATGTGAGCCATGTTGGTGTAAATGTTCCGAGTTTTACGGCTATATTCAATTTAAGAAATGTTTCAGTTTGGCCTTTGGGCTGAAGAGGCAAGCTAGGGCAATGTTTCTTAAACAGAGGTGAGAACAGAAGTGGATGGAGCACCTCAGAATGACCTGGGGAGCTTTCTCAAGCTCATTTGCTACCCACAGACTAGTTTGGCAAACAGATTTGAAGCTACACCATCAAATGACGAAAGCAATTAATAAAAATGTGGATCATTCCTATACATGTTGACTGAACTTGATATGGGGAAAAAAAAAATCTGAGGATTTCTTGTGATTAAATTTGTTTCCAGGGTTGAAAACTAAGTTTGATCTATTTTTTCTAAAACTTGCTCATGTATTTGTACTGACTTCATTAATGCAACAAAGCAATTATTGCTATTTTTAAAAAAGGAAACTGCAGCCACTTGTATACACTGTATACAACAGGATTCATCTCAGGAAATGTGTTATTGTTTGAGAAGACAGGGTCATGGGTACACAGGTTTATTTAGGTGAGAGATAGAACAAAAGAGAATTAAACTGTTCTGTATAACAAAGTGGAGCCCTGGTGGTGCAGTGGTTAAGAGACAGGCTGCTAACCAAAAGGTCAGCAGTTCAAATCCACCAGCCACTCCCTGGAAACCCTATGGGGCAGTTCTACTGTGTACCATAGAGTTGCTATGAGTCGGAATCGACTTGATGGCAATGAGTTTTTCTATATAACAAAGTGATCCCTGGTGGCACAGTGGTTAAAGCGGTCAGCTGCTAACTGAAAGGTCAGTGGTTTGAACCCACCAGGCACTCTTCGAGAGAAAGAGTCGGAATCAACTTAATGGCAACGGGTTTGTTTTTTGGTTATACAACAAGGTGGTGTCCCTGGGTGGTGTAAATAGTTAACACACTCAGTTGTTAACTGAAAGGTTGGAGGTTTGAGTCCACCCAGAGGTGCCTTGGAAGCAAAGACTGGCAATCTACTTTTAAAAAATCAGCCATTGAAAACCCTATGTAGTACAGTTCTACGCTATCTGACACACATGGTATGCCATAAGTCAGAGTCGAATCAATGGCAACTGGTTTTATTAACTGGTTATAACAAAGTGGAGAAGTTGGCATCTTTGAAAAAGCACTAACCTAAGAGGACACCCTGGTGGAGTAGTGGTTAAGAGCTATGGCTGCTAACCAAAAGGTCAGCAGTTCAAATTCACCAGGCACTCCTTGGAAACCCTATGAGGTAGTTCTACTCTGTCCTATAGGGTTGCTTTGAGTTGGAATCAACTCAACAGGAACGGGTTAGGTTTTGATTTTTTTTTTTTTTTTTTTTTAAAGAAGTTATAGGGGAGGTCTGAGAAGAAGTTGTGATTATAGGTCCAAGGCAGGTGGGCTCAGACCAAACAAAAGAAATGTCAGAAAAGACAGTGGCTGTGGGATATTGTCACAAAGTTCTGTTCTCTGCTGTTCTTCCTCTTCACAGGCCTCAATATTTCCCCAAAGCAACAAGTGGTACTTTGGGGAATAAAGGAGGTAGGACTATGTTCACGCTTGTAGCAGAGAGAAAGAGTGGCAACAGGACACGCCAGGTTTGGAGAGAGGGAATCAAAAATTGAACTGGGAGCAGAAATTTCGAGAAAACAGTGACTGGCAACCAACAGGAGCATGTAAACCTGACATGCAGGAATACTCAGGAGTAATCTGGAGGAGGTGGACTACCCAAGTTACTTGGGGTGAGGACTCCAAGTCATTTATTTCGGATTTTTAGAAGTTAAACATGAGCCCATAAGACTGGGGGACCTGAGGACGTTCAGCTTACACTAACTTGATGACAGAGACAGACACTTTTTCTGTGTTATTGATGCAGATGATCAAGAATAGATTGTCTATAATGTTGATAACTAAGTTTATTTTTGTACTTCTAAATGCAGTACAAAGTGCTTTACCCTGAGTCTTTCTTTAGAGAGAACTTAGTAAGAAGGATCCAGTTCACATAAACCCTTCTAAACAAGAAGCCAGACCTCTCCCATATGAATGCGATTTTTAACTAGAGATAAAAATAATATATCAAAATGTTCCCTTGGAGAGGAGGTTGTATATCAGAGGTCTCTATTGCCAGACTTTCACATGAGTCCAACCCCAGAACCACGAGCAACAACCATGTTTGCCACCCTTGAAGCTCTTTCTCATATTCATAAACAGATGAATTTTGTGACATTAGGTTTTTGAGTATGGGGCTGATACAAGCTTAGGAAGAAAGACATGGTTATATATCTATAAGTAACCAGCCTAGCACTGGGTGGACAGTCAGTAAAATTGCTGAGTGAAAGAAGGAATGAATGAAAGAACTCAGCAATTTCAATGTTTCATTTTCTAAAAATATTTACTCATGTTCTCTGTGTGATGTTTTCCATGCCACTGGAAGCAATATGACATGGTCAAATGACTTCTTTGGAAAATAAAACAAAACAAATGAAAATTTAAAAATGAAAATGTTGCATATGTAACATTTGTTCTAAGTTATATATAAAGGGTTCATATCTAGAAGACAAAGACATAGTTTCCCAAGAGAAAGAAGTAAATAGACTTGTAATTTCACCAGACCCCTAAATTGAGACTTGCTGTGAATGAATTTCCTAATATTGTGAAAATCAATTGATATGACCAGAGGTCAAGAATTTCATATTGAAGATGAAATATACCAGCTATCTTCGAACACATGAATCCATGTACGCATGCACTATTGCTTTTTTGAAATTCAGACTTGAATGAGAATAACTTACCCGACACAACAATAATTAGGATCAAAGCATTGGTAGCTAAGAGACTATGGAAGAATTTCAGAGTAGCCGGGATGTCTTTTACGTAATACAGCATCTAGAAACGAGGGAAAAGAGAAATGAGAAACTTCACTATGTTGATGTCTTTGTTGCTTGGACTAGATACTTACTAGAAAGTTTGATTTTCAAGTCGAGAGGACTTTTACCCAACAAAGCACTTAAGAAATTCAAAAATTAATGATCTTGTAAAGAGATAGAATAATGATGTGAGAAAATATTTGGGGAAAGAGAAAACTGCGGTATTTGCCCAGCTACAGCCAAACAGCTTTAGATTTACTCTTTCTGGCTTCAGTAACACAGACATTTATAGCTGGAGACAGTCTCCAGTCCACATGGGGCATTGATTCTATGCCTACTCGGTATTTTGTGAATTGTAGTTCTTCTGGGAGAAAATGGTGCCGGCACCATAAAAACAGACTCCATTTCATGGAACGTTGCTTTAAAATTAAACCCTTTGCACTAGCTTCACCATATGTTCACAGATGCTTTTTTTAAATCATAGGAAATGTGGCAGGCTCTGTTGTTGACATATTCTCTAGTAAACTGGACTGGATGAAGGATGAGATTACATACTTGGTCACTGAGTACTAGGGGTCATCTCATCCATTTTTAATAACTCTGAACCAATCCCTGCTGAAGTACAGAGAAAGACCAACACAGACAGAGCTTGGAATTATGCACTGGAAGTGGGAAATTTTCCTAAGGGCTTGCATCTTTGGAATCCATCCCCACAGACACTTACTTCTTATATATCATCTTCATCTCTTTTAGACAAGAATTCAGTATTATGTGTAACATGTCTAAAACATAGATGTCACTGCATAAAGGGAAAACAACTTAAGTTATGCCCCCCTCACATGAATGAATAAAATAAAATTTCCTGCCTGTGGCCCATTCTGCCTCAGTACCATATTTACTACCATCTCCCTCCATGCTGTCCACTATGGGGACCACAGATAGTTACCCAAACGCAGCTCATCAATAAGATAGCCAATAATCTAGACATGGTCTTGCTAAAAAAAAAGGAGGTGATTTATAGCAGACACCTGAAATTTGATCTAAAAGACAATGAGATTCTCCATAGTTGACAGTAAATATTAATTTGAAAGAAGGTCATGAGAGTATTAGGAGCAATGAAGAGGCAGACACATGGCACATAAAAATGGTATAGTAGAAGAGAGAGAGAGAGAAAAGAATAGAATAGTAATACAGAGGGAAGCAGAGTTGCTGTAAGAAAGAAAGAAACAACATGGATGTTTTGAGAGAAGTAGGAGAAAAGAGTAGAACCCTGAAGCTGCAGCTTTTTATAATGGGGAGAAGAATGGGATCCAGAGCCTAAGCGGAGAGAATGGCTTTTGGTGAGAGGCTTTTGTAATAAGATCAAAGAAGGAGATGATCGGTATAGGGACAGCTATGTTTGTAAGTTTGGAAGGTGGAAGAAGTGTTTTTGTCTGATATTTTCTATTTTCACATACATTATGAAATGAAATCATCAGTTGGGATTGAATGGTCGGGGAGGGATTGCAGGAGGTGTAAGGAGAGACAAGAGGTATGAAATAGTTATCTGAGGAGGTGGGAAAACAAGCTTAATAGAGAAGTATCACAGATTGCAGGACGGTGTGAAGTACTCTCTTATAGGTAAAAGATTTTGTCAGCTAAGGCAGCTGTGATGTAGGATTGCCTGGATATATCAATCTTGAAGCCATTTCTGCCTTTGATTTCTTCTAAGTTTATTCCTTTGGGGTGACTATAGCTGTGGACTAGAGGAAAGAAGGAGCATCTTATTGTTAACCAAGTGGTATTTCTAAAACATGTACATCTTCTGATGGTAGCCAACATCTAAAGCCTATATTCCCCATACAACATCCAGAAATATCAGTGGTCCCTGGAAACATGGCTCCACACCATCTACAGGCATACGTCTCTTTAATGTGATTTGCTTCATCGCATTTCGCAGATGTTCGTTTTTACAAATTGAAGGTTTGTGGCAACCCTGCACTGAGCTAGTCTGTCTGCACCATTTTTCCAACAGCGTGTTCACTTCATGTCTCTGTGTCACATTTTGGAAATTCTCACAATATTTCAAGCTTTTTCATTATTATTATATCTGTTATGGTGATCTGTGATTAGTGACCTTTGAGGTTACTATTGTAATTGTTTTGGGGCACCAGGAAACAAGCCCATATAAGATGATGAACTTAATCAAATGCTGTGTGTGTTTTGACAGCAACGCTGACCAGCCATTCCCCCATCTCTCTCCCTCTCTTGGGGCCTTCCTATTCCCTGAGACATGACAATGTTGAAATTAGGCCAATAAATAACCTTACAATGGCCTGTAAGTGTTAAAGTGAAAGGAAAAGTCACACATCTTTCAATTTAAATCAAAATGCTACAACATAAATGAATCTTGAAAACACTATGCTAAGTTAAAGAAGCCAGTTACAAAAGACCACATATTATGTAATTCTATTTATATGAAATGTTGAAAATAGACAAATCCATAGAGACAGAAGTACATTAGTGGTTACCTGGGACTTGGGTGGGTGTAGGGGTAGGGAGTGGGAATGGGTAGGAAGTAAGAATGGGGAGTGACTGCTAATGAGTATGGGCTTTCTTCTGGGGGTGTTGAAAATGTTCCAAAATTAGATAATAGTGATGGTTGCACAACTCAGTGAATACACTAAATACCATTGAATTGTACACTTTAAATGGGTTAATATTATGGTATGTGAAATATATCTTAATAAAATTATTGAGATTGAGAATTGGAAAAAAAAAAGCTACAATGATTCAGCTTAGTGAAGAAGGCATGTCAAAAGCCAAGACAGGCTGAATGCTAGACCTCTTGCACCAGTTAGCCAAGTTGTGAATGCAAAGGAAAAACTCTTCAAGGAAATTAAAAGTGCTACTCCAGTGAACACACAAATGATAAGAAAGCAAAACAGCCTCATTGCTGATATGGAGAAAGCTTTAGTGATCTGGATAGAAGATCAAACCAGCCACAACATTCTCTTAAGCCAAAGCCTAATCCAGAGCAATGCCCTAATGGTCTTCAATTTTATGAAAGCTGAGAGAACTGAGGAAGCTGCAGAAGAAAAGTTTGAAGCTAGCAGAGGTTGGTTCATGAGGTTTAAGGAAAGAAGCCATCTCCATAACACAAAAGTGCAAGGTGAAGCAGCAAGTGCTGATATAGAAGATGCAGCAAGTTATCCAGAAGATCTAAGATAATTGATGAAGGCGGTTACACTAAACAACAGATTTTCAGTGTAGATGAAGCAGCCTTATATTGGAAGAAGATACCATCTAGGACTTCCATAGCTAGAGAGGAGAAGTCAATGCCTGGCTTCAAAGCTTCGAAGGACAGGTGGGACTCTCTTGTTAGGGACTAATGCAGCTGGTGACTTTAAGTTGAAGCCAATGCTCATTTACTATTCTGAAAATCCCAGGGCCCTTAAGAATTATGCTAAATCTACTCTGCCTGTGCTCTATAAATGGAACAATAAAGCCTGGATGACAGCACATCTGTTTATAACATGGTTTATTGAATATTTTAAGCCCACTGTTGAGACCTACTGCTCAGAAAAAAATGATTCCTTTCAAAATATTGACAATGCTCATTGACAATGCACCTGCTTACCCAAGAGCTCTCATGGAGATGTACAAGGAGATTAATGTTTTCATGCCCGCTAACCCAACACCCATTCTGCAGCCCATGGATCAAGGAGTAATTTTGACTTTCAAGTTTTATTATTTAAGAAATACATTTCAAAAGGCTATAGCTGCCATAGATAGCGATTCCTCTGATTGATCTTGGCAAAGTAAATTGAAAATCTTCTGGAAAGGATTCACCATACTAGATGCCATTAAGAACATTCGTCATGGGAGGAGGTCAAAATATCAAAATTAACAGGAGTTTGCAAGAAGTTGATTCCAACCCTCATGGATGACTTTGAAGGGTTCAAGACTTCAGTGGAGGAAATAACTGCAGATGTGGTAGAAATAGCAAGAAAACTGGAATTAAAAGTGGAGTCTGAAGATGTGACCGAATTGCTGCAATCTCATGATAAAACTTTAACGGATGAGGAGTTCCTTCTTATGGATGAGCAAAGAAAGTGTTTTCTTGAGATGGAATCTACTCCTGGTAAAGATGCTGTGAACATTTTTGGAATGACAGTAATGGATTTAGAATATTACATAAACTTATTTCATAAACCAGCAGCAGGTTTTGAGAGGATGGACTCCAATTTTGAAAGAAACTCTACTGTGAGTAAAATGCTATCAAACAGAATCGCATACTACAGAGAAATCTTTTGGGAAACGAAGAGTCAAACAATGCAGCAAACTTCACTGTTATCTTAGTTTAAGAAATTAACACAGCTACCCCAACCTTCAGCAACCAACACCCTGATCAGTCAGCAGCCATCAATACTGAGGCAAGACCTTCCACCAGCAAAAAGATTATAACTCACTAAAGGCTCAGATGATGGTTAACATTTTTTAGCAATAAAGTATTTAATTAAGCTATGTACATTGTTTTATTAGACTTAATGCTATTGCACATATAATAGACTATAGTATAAACATAACTTATATATGTACTGGGAAACCAAAAAATTCATGTGCCTTGCTTTATTGTGATATTTGCTTTATTGTGGTGGTCTGGAACCAAACCCGTAATATCTCTGAGGTATGCCTGTAGTCAGTAGTCACCGCCCTTCCCAAGGAATGCACTAGCTAGTCAGTCAGTGCTAAACCATGAAAATGAGTACCTACCAAATGACTGGCTGATCTCAATAAAACTTATTGACCTGTTGAGTCATCTAACTTGCCTCTTCTGCCATATGTACACTAGTCAGGCCATTTAGGAAAGATAAAAGCAAGGGGATTCAGAGGAACTCTGGACCATTAATGGTACTAGAGAACTGTGCTAGGATATGTTATAACTTTAATATTCTCCAATCTATCCAGGAGGTTTCAATCCTAGAAAAATTAATTAAGCCAACATTGAAAAAATTGGTAACTGTGGAGTTATTTTGAGTAAACTGGCCTTTGAAAGTTAAAGAAAATCTATTAGTATTACCATAATTTTCATCCTTAATTTGGACAGATAATGCTTACTTACAAAATTATAAATCAGAAGATACTCACTTTTCTTTTAAAAGTTAGAATTTGAGGCACTCTTCATACATATTTCTGAAAAGTCTCCTTTCTGGGAGCATATTATAATAAATAGTTCTTACCTGAATCATATGAATAATGTCCCATTTTTGAAGCTCTTTTTTCTCCATCATTCTATTTTGATATTCAGACGATGTCTCCTTATGCCACGTAAACTTTATGTTCTCAAGGTTTGATGTCTTGGCTACAAGCTCTAAAATACAGAGAAGAGGTGGCACACCATCAATTTTAATTGCAAATGTGGAACCCATTTCCATTTAGAATTTTAATGCAATCAATGTTATATACATAACAGATATAAAGCACATTTTTCTTTTTTATGCAGCTCTGAGAGACCAGAGAGTTCATCCCGATTTTTTTCTAGCATTAAATGAAATTAGAGATTAAACAGCCAATCAGAAATAACAATGAGAATCCTAGTCAGACATAGGTCACATGATCTTTGTCTTAACTGGGAAACAACTGGTAATTCTTGTCAATGGCAAGTTGATATGAAATAGGTGATGTGACTGTGTAAACCAGAGGTCAGCAAACCACTGCACACAGGCCCACCTGTTTCATATGGTCATCAAGCTAAGAACATTTTTCATATGGTCATCAAGCTAAGAACATTTTTCATATTTTTAAACGGTTAAAAAAATCAAAAGAAGAATAATATTTTAAGCTACGTGAGAATTACATGATATTCAAATTTCAGTTTCCATAAAGAAAGTTTTATTGGAAAACAGCCTCATTCATTAGTTTCTGTATTGTCTATGGCTGCTTTTGTGTTCCTGTGCAGGGTTGATTAGTGGTGACAGAGACCATGAGGCCTGTTAAGTCCAAAATATTTACTATCTGACCCTTTCCAAAAAAAATTTGGCAACTCCTGGCATAACCCATTAAACATAAGCTCTTTAAGGGCAGGGGCTTTTTTAAAATATTTCCAAAAAAAGCAACAATTCTGTCCCTAAGAATATATATATATGTATGTATATATTACTGGGGGATAAATGAGGAGTTAATAAGAAAACGAGTCTAATTACTCACTGTTCATATTTGAGGTGTTTAGTCTTGTCTGCCAAGAAAACAATTTAATTAGTTTCTTCTCCCAACAAGCTTACAAACAGCACGTCACAATAAACTATGCTATTAATGATTCAAGGGACAAATTTGAGATAAGCCTTTTGGGATAAGACTTGGCATGTAGCACGATAACTTACAGATACCTTTGTACTTGGTGATTTGTTCAGCACTTGGTTCAACAACTTCATTGTTGATATGAATTCCTGGAGATTGAGCTTGTACTTTGGAGAGAATTTGAAGGTCAATTTCACCTAGAAGACAAGCGTATGACATGAGTCAAGTCATTGGATGAAGAAACCAGTTTGAGCTGGTTTACTATCTGTCTTACTTTTACAATAGAAGCCCAGAATAAAAAATAATGCTCAACTCTTGTCTGCCACAATACCGGCGGTGCAGAACAGCTAGGTTTCAAGTAAGAATAATAATGTAATTTTAGGAGTGCTATGAATGTCATTCATTCATTCATTCTTTTATTTTATTCATTTATACAATCTTTATTTAATATCCATTACTACATTTCATTAAATCTAAGATGTCCTTGGCTGTAGGAGACAATCAACCCTTATTTTTGTTTCACTAAGTCCTTAAAGTTATCAATGACTACATTTTACTTGGATCCACAATCAATACCCATGGAAGCAGCAGTCAAGAAACCAAATGATGCATTGCATTGGGCAAATCTGCTGCAAAAGACCTCTCTACAGTGTTAAAAAGCAAAGATGTCACCTTGAAGACTAAGGTGTGCCTGACCCAAGCCATGGTGTTTTCAATCGCCTCATAGGCATGCGAAAGCTGGACAATAAGTAAGGAAGACCAGTGAAGAACTGACGCCTTTGAATTGTGGTGTTGGTGAAGAATATTGAATATTCCGTGGACTGCCAAAAGAACAAACAAATCTGTCTTGGAAGAATTACAACCAGAATGTTCCTTCAAAGCAAAGATGGTGAATCTCACATACTTTGGACTTGTTTTCAAGACGAATCAGTCTCTGGAGAAGGATATCATGCTTGGTAAAGTAGAGGGTCAGCCAAAAAGAGGAAGACCCTCAACAAGATGGATTGACACATTGGCTGCAACAATGGGCTCAAGCATAACAACGATTGTGAGGATGGTGCAGGACCCGTCAGTGTTTTGTTCTGTTGTACACAGGGTCACTGTGAGTCAGAACTGACTCGACGGCACCTAACAACAATAAGAAGTCAGAAAAAACACTATAAATTATAATTTCAAGATTTCATCAATTGGAAGATACAGTCCCATAAAAACCTGTTGCTATTGAGTCGATTCTGACTCATAGTGACCCTATAGGACAGAGTAGAGCTGCCCCATAGGGTTTCCAAGGAGCTGCTGGTGGATTCAAACTCCCGACCTTTTTGATTAGCAGCCAAACTCTTAACCACTGTACCACCAGGGCTCAGAGATGTTAAATGTGGGAAAAATAAATAGGCGCCTTAGAACTTATAAACTAGGCCAGGCTGAAAGAATACAAAAAAAAAAAAAAAAATCAGATAGAAAAAAGATATCAAATATGTCAGGTACAAAAAGGAATACAAAAATATCTCAGACATCTGCCTTCAAAAATACCATGGTCTGGTGGAAGAGGTAGGCGTGGAAACAATGCTGGCTGGGTTGGAAGGAGGTGGGAAGAGGGAAGGAGTCAGTAAGGGAGAGGATGGGAGGTGATGGAAAGCTTCATGTGAGATCACTCCAGAGATCCCGTATAGGTAAATGAGAATGAGCATAGAGACTTCCAGGGAATGAGAAGGGACAAGCAGAAGAGACACAAGAGTGACAGACGCATTAAGTCAGGAAGAGCATTATATGTAGGACTACAGGCAGTTCAGAGTTCTTGGAATATAGTGCAAAGCAGGGCCTCCAGGCAAGAGGTGAACTCAGAGAGGTAAAATAAGAGAGAATATAAGCAGAGTAGGTGTTCGTTCATTCATTCTTTCATTCATTCAACTATTAATTGACTGTTTACCGTGTGCCAGGCACTGCATTAGGTTCTAACAAACAATGGTAAGAGCAAGTAGATACCTGCACTCATGGAAATTTAGCCTATAAGTGATAGAATGCAAGAGATGGTGGTCAGTTTGATGGACTTGAATTCTAAAACCATCTTCACTACTTACTAGGTGTATGTGACCTTAGGCAAGTTGTTTTACCTCTCCAAGCTTCATTTTCCTCATCAGAAAAATGAAGATAATAACAGTGCCTAATTTATGCGTTGTCAGGGTTAAATGAGGCAATGCATATAAAATACAGTGCAAAATTAAGTTAGCACCCAATAAATGTTAGCTGTTCATTATTTTTATTGTTATCATTGACTCTTTTTCTTTAAAAATATCTCTTTATTCCTACTGCTGATGCCTCCGACTTAAGTTTTGTATTTTTATTCTCTTAGGATATGACGTTGACCTTCATTAAAATGACAATAACTCTTGGCAGGACTAGTACATGAAAACAATGTTAATCTTTAACATTTTGGCATAAATGACATTAATGGAACCTTTCCAAAGTTAGATATGGCAGGCAGCAAAATCACAGGTCACAAGAGTGGGAGGTTTGGAAGGAAGGAGATGGGAAAGATAAATCAAAAACAGAAGATGCTAGACCAGAAAAAAAAAGGGCAATCAAATGACAAAATGAGAGCCTCAACTACTGGTCATAGGGGATGGTTTACGCAGGGTATGTATGTGCAGGAGACGGGTAGGGAGGAAGCTGAAAGGGGAGATGATGGAGCCTACGTGGCAGTTTTGTTCAAAGCTAGTCCTACTAACATGAAACTTCTTATTCTTTCTCTAATAATTCTAGCTGCCATTTCTTGGCCAAAAATTGGGCTAGGCACTTTACCTAGAACAGCTCACTTAATCCTGACTACAATACGACCTCAAACTGCATGATATTACTCCCAACCAGATAAGGCAATTTGAGTAATTAAAGACTCAGGGGATATTAATATGCCTAAAGTATAAGGCAGAGCCCTGGTACCACAATAGTTAAGCGTTTGGCTGCTAACCAAAAGGTTGGCAGTTTGAATCCACCAGGTGCTCCTTGGAAACCCTATGAGGCAGTTCTGCTCTGTCCTGTATGGTCGCTATAAGTTGGAATCGACTCGATGGCAATGGGTTAAAGTATAAGGCACATATGACTGATTCCAAAGTGTTTGTTTTTCTGACAACTTCATACAAAAAAACAGGAAGATAACCGATTAGTAAAGGGACATAAAAAAAAAAAATCTTCTTTTTTTTTCCTCTACAGCCACTATTTTTGAAGAGGAAAAGAAATAACCAAGGGAAAAGGCTTATAAGAATAGCTGTGGGCTAATGAGAAAATAGATTCCAACTTGCCCCAAAGGACCAAACGCTCCAAAGTTCTGAGCTTGCCTTTTTCACCCTAACCATGTGTTTTAAATAAAGAATCATCATTGAGGGGGATCCTAAATCCAACATTTTGAAACTCAAAGAGTTGAAATGCAATTATTTTCCCCCTGGGGCTTGATGAGCTCTTCTTCTCTAAGAGGGACCTGGACATTTCAGATCTGCACAAATGGCACAAGGTAGCTATTAGATCCCTGGGGCCTGTTTCTATCTCATCTCTTTCCCCACTACCAGAATAATCTATCACAATCAGTGCCAGGCAGTCCTTCCTGCTGTGCAATGATAGCAGGCACGATGCTAGAATTGCAACTGAGATATGGAAACCACAGGTTTGCATAACAACCTCTACAGTGTGAGCCCAGGTGTGGAAGGAACCATCCGTGCATTCACTGTTGGATCTCTAGTATAATAACAAACAACAAAAGGGGATAATGAAACTATTTCCTCAGGTGTTAACACATAAAATCCATTTCTGACATCATAAGTAGGGTAACCATACTTCCTGTTTTCCAGGGACAGTTCATGCCTGTTGTTCTGGTGTCCCATCTGGTTTCATTTTTTTCATCCTCAATTTTTCATTCTTTAACAAAATATTATTATTAGTATTTAAAAAGTTTTTGGAAGGAATTATGTTATATAACTCTATAACTGGACAATATAGTAGTTGTAGTTCAATAAATAAATATTTTAAAAAGTTAAAATAATTTTAATTATGTTACCCTCTCCCTCCGACTCTCACTCTGAAAAGTTTCCTGAGTTGGACAATAAATAACATCACTGTACTCATAAAGCACTTATTCTCTTTGCGATTTTTATTTATAAGGGACTCTATTATTTCTTATTGTGTTATATGTATAATTTGTCCCCATAAGATAAATACATGCCTTGGCCTTACACCCTGTATAATTTGCTTTTTAGCATCCCTCAGAAATTGGACATGTGCATTTTTTTAAAAGTGATTTATATAAACCTCGGCCCAATAGATAGGTAGTTCAGATCTTCTATGATATTATAGTCTAAATAGTTAGCATTTAGTTATAAATATTTTCTTAAAACATTCACCTATACTGCTCACTATCCATCGACTCACAAAGCTTGATGCTTCTTCCCTCCTGCATTTTTGACCATCAGCAAGTTTTCCTACTGAATGTTTCCTTACTTCTCTTTTCCATCTCTACTAGCATGGCCTTTTTTCAGGCCCAAATTATGTAACTCTTGTAACACTGCAAAAATATCCTAAAAGGTCAGCCTACTTCTGGTCTTGTCTCCCTCAAAGCCATCACCAAAACGACCATCTAAAACCCTAACGTAAGCAAGCCCATCCCTTCCCTGATAAAACCTTCTAATGATTTTGATCAGCTGGATCAAGTCCAAGCCCCTTGATGGAACACAGTAGATTATCCTGCCTGTTTTTATAAATTCTCATCTCTCACGATGTCATATTTTGAAACTTACAGCTCCAGGGATCCTGAATTGCTTACACTTCCCTCCCTCATGCACCATGTTCTTCCAGGCCTTTTGTCCTCTGCCCACACTTTCTCCTCTGCCTGGAGTACTCTCCCCTCACTTCCCTACTTCTTCCGGCTGACTCCTACCCATCTGAAATTCTTCTACACATGAATAATCACCTTGGTGTTTTTCCCACAGAGCCTGGAAGCAGCCTCAGAATCCTACAGACAGTCACTACCCATCAATTGACTGGAGTTGGCAACACAGACAAAACTTACTTCTCTTCCCTGATCTAAATTATTGCTTTACTTCATTAATTTGATTCACTAGCAAAGGCTTGATTCCTGAGAGTTTATTAAAAGAAGACAAAGAAGTCTAAAATGTTGGATTGAATAACTGAGCAAACTTGATCATCAGTCAAT